AGGGCCTTGGTAGCTTAATTGTGAAATTCTGTGGCTGGGCTCTCTCCCCTAGGACAAGGAGGGCTGTGCCACCCAGGGAAGAGCCAGCAGGTACCTGGGAGGATCCAGCCAGCTAGGGGTGGGAGATTACAAAGCTCAGACAGGCAACTAAAGGGAACTATGGCCTTAACTGTTTTAAAGATTTGAAAAGTCTCAGGCTGAGGGTTGGCATGGGGAAGTAAAGCCACTGGGAGAACCGGCTAGGTGCAGTTCTTACTTATTCTGCAGTCAGGCCCAGCAAAACCAGGGGCGCATTCACACCGGTACCAGTTGTCTCCATCCACGCACGTGCCGCTGTTGTAGCTACAAAGAGAGCAAAGACCGCCTTGGTGACCAACCTCCCTCCTGATCCATGACCGGCTGCCAGTCAATTGCAGGGAGCCACGCCGATTACCATCAGGGGCTCTCACGCCTGGCCACACTCCCCATTGCCTGGGGAGCTTTAAAATACTGATGTGTCCCACCCCAGAGTCACTTGACAGTTCTCAGCTGCAGCCCAGGCACTGGGACTTATAAAAGCTCCCAGGTGATTCTCTGTGGGCAGCCAATGTGGAGAATCACTGCTCTAAATCAAGATGTAATTTGACTAATTAAACCATGGTCCACGGACCAGCAGGATTGGCACTACTCGGAGTCTGTTAGAAAGGCAGGGTCTGTAGCCCCACCTGACCTCCTGAATCAGAACCTTCATTTTAAACAAGATCCTCAAGGTGATGCCCATGCACATTACTGCCAACAAGTGCCAGCTGAAAAGATGGTCATGCTTACCAGGGGTGAGGACTGCAGTCATTGGTATCTGCAAAGTAAAGAGACAACTTAATAGCGAAGCCTTCAACAGGCAAAGCAGTCTTAGCCCTAAGAAAAAACACCACTGGCTTCCATAATACTCAAATGATAGAACTGTAGTTAACATCGGCAAAAGGCACTTAAGACCTCCACTCAATTGGAACCAGGCCTGCACCACACTTAGTTCCATTCACCGTGGGACACACGTACACAGGAAGAGGCCCTGGTGAGGGTGGGAAGCGGGTGTGAGAATGGAAGGAGACAGGCTGCTGGTCAGACCAGAGCTGGGAATGAGACACCATCTGTCTCCACTTACCTCCTCGGCGACTTTCTCATGCCCAGGTCAGGGCTGTATCCCATCAAGTCATTAGAACAGACCCAGGTGATGCAGAAGCAGACATCAAACAGCTCTGCTTCTGGTCTCTACTGTGAGTCCCTGAGGGTGTCAGGCTGTGCTCCCACAGCCCTTGGAGAGTCCCAGGGGGAGGGGGGACACTCACTCTGAGTACAGATGGGCCCCTCCCAGCCTTCTTTGCAGACACAGGTGAAGGACTCGCCATTGACCACACAGGTGCCCCCGTTATGGCAGGGGTTGGGTAGGCAGCTACTATTTCGGGCTACAAGACAAGAACAGACGAGACCACCGTCCCTGAGGATCCAGACAGTCTGAAGGGGTAGAAGCCAGACCCAGGAGAAGATTCACAGGTGTTCATGTGGGACAGAAGTTACCTATGTTGCAGGTTGTTCCTTCCCAGCCTCCAGGACACATACACTTGAAAGCATCTCCTTCGTCATAGCAGGTGCCACCATTGTTGCATGTGGCCTCATCACACTGGCTGTCACCTGGAGAAGCAAGATCTCAGTGTGAGCCCCTGGCCAGCCTTCCTCACGGAAGACAGAGAGAGAGGGGTCTCAGAGACAGAATCCCAGCCGGCTCCCACTTACGCGAGTGGCAGGTCTTTCCTTTCCACCCGTTTTTACAGTCACAGTAGAAGTCATTGACCAGGTCACGACACGAGCCCCCATTGTGGCAGGGGTTCTGGCTGCAGTCATTAATGTCTAGAACCAAGGAGGAGACACCCAGCTGAAAATACTTCCAGGATAAGTCACAACCCATGAAAGCCACGCCTTTCCTATGGCCACCTCCACCCTTTCTTTCCACTTCGAGCTCCAAGGCCAGCCGAACAATCCCAGGACTTTAACACCATTACCCTTTTCCAGGGGTAAAGGAGCCCTGAGCTAGATTATTTTTAATGCCACAAGTTAGGCAAGTCAGGGGCAGGCCTCTGTCACTCTCACAAAATTAAAATCAAGATGGGAAGAAATGCTCAAAACAGAAAGATGATTCCTTTCCCTTCCTTACAAGCAGAGGTATTCATCATCCTAATTATACAGATTGATTCTATAGCTGCTCAGCATAAGTTTCTTCCCACTGTCTGTCATCCACATTAACAAACGCGAAAAGGAAGCAGGCAATGCTGTCCGACTGCGGGAATAGTTGGGGTCTTACTTTCAGAATTTCCATTAAAAAGAGCTTCTCATATTGATTCTCCCTGCCTCTCCCCAATCCCAGAGATGTCTGTCCCCAAAAAGACCACAGACTCACTGGTTTCACAGTAGGCCCCCTCCCAGCCGTCGCTACAGATACACTTGTAGGAGTTGACACCATCGATGCAAGTGCCACCATTTTTACAGGGGTTGCTCTCACAGTCATTAATATCTGTGAAAGGAAGAGGAAGTCAAAACCAGGTAAATAAAGGACAAGTAATGCCACAGACAGGCATCGTTCTATAGACTGCCTCCTGAAAAAATGCACTTGGCACCTCAAGATTCTCGCCTCCACTAGGACTGTTTCTCGAATTCAGTGGACAGCTCACCAAGCAGAGCTCTCTAGAGACTGCCTCGTGGATTTTACTTAACGCTCTCAAATGCTAAGCTCAGTGGGTGGAGGAAGAAACTCCTGGAGAAAGAGGGACCACCCAAACTATTAAGATTCTAGAACATTGTAAAATAAAAGTGCTGAAGGCTCAGAGGCATTGGTGATCTCAAACACAACTGAGTCTTACATCCTGGACGTAATGGAAAACCTTCACTAGTCTCAACTGAAACAATTCAGACTCACAGGCTCCCTGAGCTGGGCAGAAGCAAGGTGAGGGGACTTACTTTCATGGCAGTATGTTCCAGTGAAGCCTTTGTTACAGTCGCAGGTGAATTTGCCTCCTGACTGACTCTTGCACTTCCCATGGGGACCGCAGACGTTCGAGGAAATATACCGCACCCCTTCAGGCGTGTCATTGGAAGCCATGGCCACTGTGCAACTGTCAATCACTAGAAAACAGACTTGGGATCAGATCATGGCCACTGACCCATAAGACACAGCTTTCCTAAGCCAAGGACATACACTGAGACTACTTTCCTAGAGACAGGCACCTTTGACTAATGAGGGTAAGAAATTAAGAGGCATTTTGGGGGGCCACACACTCTGGCAACATGCCATGTCTCACTGTGAAAGCATTGAGATTCCAGATGGAGAGAAGTTCTATTTGTTTTTTAAAGGCATTTTCTCCCTATGTGGCTAAGAAGCCTACATGTCTGTGGGCCCCTTTCATCTTCTTTGATATCCATCCAATTTGGTAGAAGATCTCTAAAGAAGGACCTACTTAATCGTACTTAAAAAAGGCTGAAGGACAAACTTACAGAATCTGCAAGGCTATGACACCTAATACAGAAGTCACGAGCCATATGTGGCTAAATGATTTGTAATTAAATGATTTGTAATTAAATAAGGGTTTCAAGTTGCACTAGTCATACTCTAAGTGCCCCACTGGCCACACATGACCTGTGTGGCTACTGCACCTGACAGCACAGGTACTGGACATTTCCACTCCTGACAGGGCTGCTCTGAGAAATGTGTCTCAGTGTTGCACATCAGCCCACCCCAGACCAGGAATGCTGAATGAATTTCACATTCTCTCCCCTGGGCGACTTGTAGACATGGTTCTCACTGGCGGGCCTGAATAGATTGCTTCCATGTGCTGACTTCCCTGAGCAGTTAAGTTAGGGGGTTTCGATCTCCTCACCTACACTACTTCTCAGAGTATCAAGTGGCATTGACAAGTGGGGAGAAAAAAAGAGCTTGACTTGTAGACATGGTTCTCACTGGCGGGCCTGAATAGATTGCTTCCATGTGCTGACTTCCCTGAGCAGTTAGATTAGGGGGTTTCGATCTCCTCACCTACACTACTTCTCAGAGTATCAAGTGGCATTGACAAGTGGGGGAGAAAGAAACGAGCTTTGGGGAAAAGCCAGGAGCCTAGAGGAGGGAAGTACCTTCACAGGGGGTTGTGCGGCAGTGGTCTTTAAGGTGGGAGCAGTTCTTGCCTTCGTAGTCCTCGGTACACTTGCAGAAATAGTCACTGGCACGGTTGTAGCACTGGGCACCGTTCTGGCAGGGATTGGGCTCACAATAATCTATGTCCAGCTGCAAGGACCAGGAGTAGGACAGCGACAGAGGAAACAAAGTAAAACAAAGGTGTGAGTACAACGTCTCTGCGGCAGCAGATACTGGAATCTGACGCCTTCATCTGCTTCTGTTAAGAGAACACTCTGCATAATACACAGTTTTATATCCTAGAGACTGTCCAGGTATGCACTGGAAGAAACAGGGCAGAGAGGGAGAACTGAGTTGGGGGGGTTAGCAGTGGATGAAATGGACAAGCTACTGACACTACCAAGAACATCACTCATCAATCTCTTTCCACCAGCATTTGTCTAGCAGAGATCCCTAGTCAATGGGAGGTTCGCAGATTTCACAGAGACTCCAGCTACAGAGTTAAGAGTAGACTAGGGGGAACGGAGAGAATAGAATAAGGGAGAGAGAAAAAGAAAGGAGGGAGGCGTGGAAAGGGAGTGGGAGGATGAGGAAGGGAAGGAGAGGAGGCAGTCAGGGAAGGAGGAGCGGGAGGAGATGCAGCTATAAAAACCTGGCCAGAGGTTCTAACACTGCTCACCTGACAGAGGTTTCCAGAGAAACCAGTGGGACACAGACACTGGAATCTGTTGATTTCATTCTGACAGTGACCCCCATTCAAACAGGGGGTGCTGGCACATTCATCGATGTCTCTCTCACAGTGATCGCCTGCATAGCCAGGTGGACAGATACAGCGATAACCATTAACCAAATCCTAGAAGAGGAGAAGGAGGGGGAGAAACATGCTTTTTTTCTATATATCCACAAACACAGGGCTTCAGCGGTTTAGCATGACTGTTGTGGTTCAGCTGATTCGCTGAAATAGCCAAATGCCAAGCCTCTCAAAATGTGTGAGAATTCCTATGTGTATGTCTTTGAGATGACTCCCAGGAGGTTGGGGGTCACAGGAGCCCAAGTGAAACTTACAGAGACTCACTTTTCACCTGCATTTTTAAATCTCACAGGGACAGAGCTCTCCCAGGGTCACACAAATCTTAAATTTGCTGTGGACTATTAAGGTTTTGATTTAAGAAAAGATTTACATACCCGACAGGCTGCGTCATTCTGACACTGGCCAAGACAGTCATTAATATCTAAAAAATAAACAAGTCATCATATTAAAGAGGCAATTTACATTGAAATTGGGCTTAATTGAAAAGCTTTCTCAGCTCAGGACAGATAAAGCCTTCAAATCAGATTTCCTGTGTGCTTCCGGTGAGATAAGGTTATTGCACTGGGTGGGAACCCTCCCTAATTCTTCCAGACTAAGCTAGTGAAACTTCACATCATTGTTTCAGCCACCTTATCAGAGTATGACCCTTTTACTGGCTAATGAACCTGATAAAGCGAATGTTTTCACTTCTGCACTGATCACTCCCTCTCCAAAAACATTCCCTTCATAAAGTTTTCCTTTTACCATTCTAGTCTTCTGCAGACTGGCAAATGCCTTCAACACCCAAGTTTCATGAAAATCAAAATCAAAACAAAGTCACTCACTTATTTCACAATTCTGACCCATCCAGCCCGGGAGGCAATCACAGTAGTAGCTGGCAATCAGATTCTTACAGGATTTGGCATTGACACAAGGTTTGGCCTCACATTCATTTGCATCTGAAAGAAAATGAAGATGAGCAGTGAGGAACTGAGTTTTTACCCACCCCCCACTTGCCCTCTCTCCTCCCCAACACACTGTGCCAATATTTTGAAATAGGAGACATTTTAATAAGCTAGCTAAATAACAGATACTAGGTTCCCTCTATTTTGAACATCTGATCTCTTTTCCTAATCAGTATCCAATAAGGAATGCTAATTGATAACTTTCTGGCCGCTGGTTAACAAAGGCCCCCAACAGAACAACAGAAAGCCACCAGGCATTTCTGTTCAGAATCCGGCACAGCCTAGTTGCTGGGATTTAAATGTAGCAAAAAGAATGCAGACAGCTCATTCCTCATGAGATCATCCCCGCATGGAACCCAGCTGAACACTCAGCGGACAGACGATTGACATGGTTCAAGGAGTCCAACGACTTTCCCACAGGGCCTAAAAGAGCTAGTCCATTTGCATTCAAGTGATTTCTCCCAGGCCCGCTGGCTGGACTCTTGATAATAAATTACTTCTTCGTATGATGGCGTGCGAGCTCACACTACTGGCCACATGCTCATCTTCCTTAACAGTTCTGATTATCAAAGCCAATCTTGGGGCAGGAACTCTCTTACCTAACTGGCACGTTTTGCCAGTCCACTGGGGTGGGCACACGCACTTAAATCCATTAACCAAGTCCTGGCAGGTGCCCCCGTGGGAACAGTTGTTTGGAGAACAGTCATCAATGTCTGTTTGACAAAAATGAGAGGGTTGGCAATTTAATCTCCATGTCTGACAATTAGATAATACCACCCCTCATATGAGGGGCTTTCAGACGCCTGCTATAAGTGACTGCTCTGATGACGATCAGGCCTGATTTTAGCTTTAAATCCTCCACTGCCCCAAATCATTTAATCCACCCCCCCTAAGCAGGCAGGGAGAGCCGGCTGGATCCCCAAGAGCATCAACCCTCTGGTCACACAGGACAGCACTGCCACTCTTTATTTTAAAAGAAAGTTTTCATCACTGCTCAAGAGGTAGCCAAGAAGGAAAAATAACTCTTCCTTACTGGTGGAAAACCCTGTTCTTCAATATTTGCTGAGAGTTGTCCCAAAATAACACACCTAGGGTCCCTACTCCCCACTTCTGCACTGGACTATAGCAGCCTCTTAATTCATCTACTGCCCACTCAGGGAGGTGCCAGCCTCTCTGCGTAAATTCACTGAGTCTTTACCACCCTAGGAGATGGGGACTGCTACTATCCTATTTAAACAGGGAGCGGGGAAGTTACGTGGCCAGAGTCCCACAAGTGGTGGGTGGAGGCCACAGTGCCAGCCCAAGCCATCTGTCCCCAGAACTCACATCCTGAACCATGCTGCATGTTGTTTTTAGGGGTGCTGTTGACAATGGTTTTCAGGCCTGGCTACACCTCAGAAATCCAGGAGTTTAATATGGACTCCTTGATTCTCAAAGGAAACTGTGGAACCCAGAGAACTATACTGTCAAGCACCCACATGTTTCTGATGTGTAGCCAAGTCTGGCAGCCATGGTGACTCTATAGTCTGGGTCCCCCTTTCAGGGCCCCCTTGACAAAATTTAGTAGTGACAACCTCCCCTGCAGGCAGACTCTCCATGATTTGATTTGGAGAAGGCAGAGCTCCAGTGGGCACAGCAAAATTAGGAGTTATGCCGTGAGAAAGTTTCTTCCCGTAGCAGACACACACGTGTTAACAGCAGATAGGGTGCGGGGACTTCCAAATGCAAATTCAGGAGTCTCAAGCCAGACTCCCCCCAAGACTGACTACATCCACCCCTTCCCACCAAGAAAGACCCATCATCTAGACCTCATGTGGGTTCACGAGCCCAGGAATCTGCCTCAACCCTGTATCTCAACACAATGACCCTCTAGAAATAACACAGGCCAAAGCCTGGACTTACTTGTGGAGCAGGTGGGGCCCGTCCAGCCTGGAGAACATTCACACTCAAACCCCAGGGAGGTCTCCTTGCAGCTGCCTCTGTTGTGGCAGGGATCAGAGAGGCAGGCGTGCTCTGCTGCAAAACCCAGATGGCAGTTGGTGAGGGATGCTGATTTTTGCTACCTACACCCTCTCCCCACAACCAAATCCCTCACCTGGGCCACCAGCTCAAGCTCATTTCAAAAACTAAAAGCAAGTGTGTGATATAACCACGCTGTGTCTAGGGAAATATGGAAGTCATCTTTCTCAATAAGCTGTCTCCAGCCACATTCCAAGGCACCTCAGAGCCGGGGTCACTGCATTGCAAACACACCACTTCCCATGCTAGTCAGCATCACACAAAAAGTGTGAGCAACGTGAAGAAAGTTTCAAAGACCCACAGAACTGCTGGGATAACAAGTCTTAGCTTTGGAGGATATGTTCACCTTTTTATGAGTCCTTAAATATATATATATTTTTCACTCTTCCCATTATTATTTTTTTAATTATGGTGACATTGGTTAATAAAATCCAGTAAGTTTCAAGTGTATAATTCAACAGTAAGTCATACATATTCTTAAGTATATTTAAGCCAAGTGTACAAAAATATTCAACGAAAGGGTCTTATGCTGCCTGGACTACTTACCAATTTCACAGTTGGGTCCTGAATAGCCGTCAGGGCAGGAGCACTGATATTTGTCAGGACCCGTGTTGCTACAAGTTCCTCGATTAAGACACGGCTGGTGAGTCCCGCAGTAATTGAGATCTGCCAAAAAGTTCCCAAAGAAGTCAGTCACTTAAATATGTAAAGACAGCCAACCCACTGCATTCCTACACCATCCCTCTTTTAAAAACCGGAAGTTATGAAATATAAGTCATGGGGTGTACTGTACAGCATGAGGACTATACTCAGTATTGTATTAACTTTGTAAGGTGACAGACGGTAACCAGTCTTATAGTGGTGACCATTTTACAATGCGAACAATGTCAAATCATTGCGTTGTACACATGAAACGAATGTATCGTATGCCAATTATACCTCAATAAAAAGAAAAAAACCCAAACCATAGCATTAAAGGCAAATTTAAACAGATTCATAATAAAAAGCCCCTGCAAATAAAAATAAAGGAAAAGAAAAGCAAATTACTGCTGTGCCATCCTTAAGACCTCAGGTTCCTCCCAAGATCTCCAACCCACAACAGTCCCATACCTGAGGGGTATTACCTTTGTCGCAGAGCTGACCGCCCCAGTTGGTCTCACAGAGGCACTGCCAGGGCTCGTTACAGGTGCCATGGACGCACCCCGGGTGTGGGATACATTTGTCACAGTACAGGCCCTGCCAGCCATACTGGCACCTGGAGACAGACAGCATATCCCCCCGTTAGCCTCTAAAACATTCAGGAAGGTCTGTGCCATTAAAGGACAAGGCTGCAAAGTCCAGGACTTTTCTGTTTTGTTTCATTTTTGGTGACAGGATGAGAGACTCTCAAAGTTTGTCTGGGGGCTCCCTCTAAACAAACATTGTCATAGTTGGGCCAAGGTTCCCTCCCAGGCGACTCATGACAAAGCGAGGGCTGTTTGGGAAGAGGCCAGTGTGGGGCTGCCCTTCACACAAAGACACTCTTCTCAGGCTCACAGGAATGAGCCGAGGATGGAATAAATCAATCCCAGGGCAGACTATAGAGGGAAAGGAAAAAGGAAGGACACTCTGGTGACAACAATAGCTATGTGAAAGTCTCCCCAAATGCAGCACTTCGGGCAATTTTTACACAGCAGCTTGGCTCCGCTCTTTGTCTACACAGCAAGTCATGACCCCAGTGCAAAAAATGCAACAAGACACCCAGTGCAGCAGGAAACTGCCTCACTATGAGGCATTATGAAATCAAACGAGGGAAATGGGGCACCTCCTTTGGCAAAGATGACGGTAGGATCCCTGAACCCATTTCTGCAGGAAGGGTGAAAGAAGCAACAGCTCTCAGAATCAATTTCATAGATAATTTGTGACCTACTACCGTGGCTGCTTATGCTAATCTAATTTTTAGTTATTTCTCGCTTTACAAAAAAAAAAAAAAAAAAAAGGTCAACTCAGTTTATCTGGTATTGGGGAAGGGAGTCGAGTTTCCTTTATAAGCGCCTCATTAATCGGACTCTTTCGAGGCCAAATGGTGCCTTTGATCCCCAAACAAAAACACAAACATAAACCTTCACCTGGGGTGGGAGAGAGGGCAGGGTCTCAACCACTCACCCCTCAAGTTTCAAGCCCTCTGAAACTTTAACTGCCTTCTCAAAAATCAAGCTTTCACAAATAGGAGGGGGTGTGGGGGAAGGCCTGACAGTGGAATGAAGGTGGGGTCGGCGAGGAAATAGCAAATATTTCCATAACGGGACCTGGGAAAAGCCATGGTCAGAACCAATCCCCACCCCTCACCCCAAGCCGCTCAGCTGTAATTCTGGAAAACAAGCACCCCCAAGAAGGAAAGGCTTTCGGTTTCCAGAGTTGAAGGCAAGCTAGCAAATCCTTGTCATGGGAAAATTATAGGGATCCAGCTAATAGCTAATCGCCCACGGCTGAGACTCAACTTAACCCCTAAGAGCACTGAATAACCGCTTCCTAACTTCTACCAACAAGCCACGCACAGCCCAATACAAAAAATGACCAGGGTGTGTGATTTAAAATTAATCTGACAAAGGATCTTGGTTTATGTAAACGAAACATCAGTCTGAATGACAAGTGACTATTTAAAGGAGCGAAATAAGAGCAAAATAAATCAGATGGTAGAATTTTTTAAAAATTGGACACTCAAGCCGGTGAGAGGTAGGGAGCATTCAATTAAAGATTGATATTCATATTCTTAGCTTGAAAGATATTAAAAGGAAACTGATTTGGAAACAGCAATATTTGTAACATCTTCTTTTATTCTCTTCCAAATGAAGGATCCCTACATCTCTTCAATTTGTCTAATAAAAAGAGGAGGCAGCGGAGGACCCAACATCATCTCCTAATTAATGAAAGCTGGATCCCCAAGCATAAAAAAGGAACCACAAGAGGCCATGGATGACTTCAAAAGAAAACAAATAAAAATGGTGACCCTAAAAGAGGCATCACAAAGTTATCCCAGTTTAATAGTATATGATTAAGGTTCTCATGAGAAATTGAAGTGACTTTCCTCATATGATGATTCATAACTAAGTTTGATATTATTGGCAGGCTTGCAATAAAGCAAGCATATGCACCCAGGAAAAGGCCTCTAAGTCTACTTGGGAACAACAAAACCAGTAAAGTTTTCTCATGTGGGAAAAAAAAAAAAATCCGTGTAATACATAATCCAAAAGACAACTTACAGGTAACTTGCCATTCAACTATTCCTGGAGCAGAAACTTCCTCAGCTAGAAGGTTCTGTCTTGATTTTCTTTCAAGGTAGGGAGAAGGAGATGGGCAGAAAGACTATGCAAATGAGGTGTGGGAAAGTCGCACCTTAAGTAAATAAGAACACTGGTGCGTGTCTGGGCAGGGAGTGGGAGGTTAAGACTTCGAAGGAGAAAGGGCTAAATTCTGGAAACAAAGCCTGTTGTTCTGGCTGGGAGGGCCCTCCCCTGAGCGGCCGTGTGTTTATTCTGATGACAGTTGCAGAAATCGTGGTTGGCCTCCGCTGATACTCATCTGAGTGCAGAGCAAGACCAGAGTCACTAATAGCAGTGCTGATCTGACTTTCTCCAGAACACCCTTAATTACGAAGAGTTAAAGGAGGTGGGTGCCTGTTCAACGTTTGACAGCAAAGCTGTTAAATACTATAGTCAGCCGCCACCAACAGGCGTTAGTATGCAAACCCCCTCAGCCTTCCAGAAAAATCTCTTATCTTTCTGAAGTGTAGAGGAGACGATTTTCAGGTCAACCTGTTTTTATTTTACTTCCAGCTGCCTTCATTCCTACTCCGGCTTCAAGCCTCAGAGCCCAGTGCTCCCCACTGCATGGGAGGGGAACAGATGCAGTGATGGGGTCGTAAAGGCCACAGATAATTCTGTCAAACAGCAGTTTGCAAAACTTACTGAGGAGCAAAATCACATGGCTGGCTTGTCAAAATGCAGATTCCTGGGCCAAACTCAGGCACTGAGATTCATGGGTGTAGGGTGGTTGGTGCCCAGGAATCTGCATTTTGATATTTCTGGTAATTTGGAGAATTACACTTGGAAGTACCGAAGTTTGGGGACAGTGATTCCCAAAGTATGGTCCCACCAGCAAGAGTTGCATCACTTAGGAGCTTGTTAAAAATGCAGACTTGGGCCCACCCCAGACCTATGGACTCAGGATCTGCATTGTGACAAGTGCCCCATGTAACATTAGTTTGAGATACACTGGTTTAGACTACCAGTGTTGTAAGCTTTCCTTGGCTCGAACCAGGGTAGCTTTGGGGGCAAAAGAGGCAGGCCCAAAGGATTTCTCCCCAACCCCGCCCCCGTTGGTGTCACATTAAATCTGCTAATTCTTAAGATATGAGGAAGAAGAGTAAATTGTGAGATTGGGTCAAAATGCCACAAGACCGACAATATTTCTCAAAGCAAGCCTTGCCCAAACTGGTATAATGTACATTTCAAGGAGTTCCAAAAACTGTAATCAGGAAGCAGTCGGGGTAGGTCTCCCTTTGGCTTCTGCATTGTCTGGGACCATAAAAGAACAGACTTCAAAGGCCAGCAGCAAAGTCTACATTCATCAGGCTCAACTGACAAGATTCCAGCGCAGCCATTAACCTCTCAGCACAGGCCTGTCTCCCGCCTGCAAAGGGGCCAGGAGATTGTACTAATCCCATTCTAAAGAATGCTCCACTTTCCCCTATTGATGGGAAAAGTGGGGGAGGGCTGGGAGATGGAAACCGGGGCAGGGGCAGAGACGCAAAGAAACATACCCACATCCCTCCATCTACTCCATTAGCACGTTACAGGGAAGATTACAAAAACGTGTTATCAATTTAGAGAACAGTTACTACATGAAGCTACTGACTATGCTCATAAGTTTCCTTTTTTTTCTGAGAGAAGTGTGCGCATTCCACTGGACAGCTGGTATAATTTAATAAGCTTTGGATGTGCCTATTTGAATTTTTTTTAAAGCTTTTCTTGTTCTCCAAAGAAACATTCACAATAAAGTCCCCCTTTTGCATTCAAGAAATAATTGTTAAAACAAAAAACAGTTTAGTCATTTACCTGCAGTCACCTGGGAGTTTGCAAGACCCATGCTTTGGACTACAGCCTTGTCGGCAAATAGCTGTAAAAAACAGAAGGATGTGTCAGCACACTGCCCGATTCTTGTACCGCCACCGCCATGAGAATAGCCTCGTATACTAAGCCTACAAAATCCACGATTTTAAGAGATCTCATATCAAGCTCATCGTAAGGAGAGGAAGATGGGAGGTGCCCAAAGAACAAATCCAGCTTTAAACTTCAAGGCCACGCTAGCAGATCCTCAAAACATGATACTGTTTGGGGACAAAAATGCAGGCAAGTTGATGGGGGTAGGGGATCTTCATCCAGTCTCTCCAAACAATAGCTACCCTGCTCCCTTGTCAATTCCCGCCCTTGCCAAAAGAAAATTAGATGTAATCCTTCCTCACCTCACCCACTCTGTCCTATCAGGGAACATTCAGATGAGCTCCAGCCTCCTCAACCCCCCTCCCCGCCCACTCCTGCCAAATGCCTGATGGCTCAAAAATCCCATGGGACTAACGAAGCCGACCAGGCTGCCATCATTTGGCTAACTCAGAGACCAGTTCTGGTGGTACTTTTGCAAAGTATCCTCGCAAAGCAATTCTGCTTCCTTTAAAAAAAATTTGAATAGACCGAATAATTTTTAATTAACTTATTTGTTACTTATTTTTAGAATACCAACTACTTAAAATATGTTTATCAATTCTGACTTTCATTTGAATCTCAGAAACATCATCCTTTTAAAACTCTCATTTCCAGTTACCTAAGCAGTAAAACCCAGGAGACCTGCAAATTCTTCTCTCTGCCCTGCTTCTCAATCACAGTTCGAAAATTCGTTTTTAATTCAACTTTATCTTGAAAGAGAATGTTCGTGAGGATCTATTACAGTTAACTAAAATTACCCATCAATTTCTTGACTTACGAGCTTTGTAAAGGTAAAGACCACAGATAATTCTGTGAATATCTGTGAATGTGATAATTCACTAAATTCTAAAAGGAGCTGGGACAGTAGATGTAGGACATCTAAAACTTATACAGGCAGATCTCATTTCATTGCACGTCTCTTTTTGTGCTTCACAGATTTTTTTTATATGTAAATTGAAGGCAAGATCCTCCTCCAGCAAAGATTATGACTGGAATTATTGCAATACTTGCTTTACTGTGGTGGCTTGGAACTGAAATACAGTATCTCCAAGGCACACCTGTGCTGCTGTGGGTGGGTTCAACGCTACACAAGCAGGAAAGCTCAGGCTCACCACTTGCCCACCTCCTCAATGCTACAGCGTCAAAAGAAACCCAGTGAAAACCTGCCATAAATCAACTCTGAGCTCAGGAGCTGTCATTTCTTACAGCATCATCTGTTCTGACACTGACTGGGCTAACCCATTCTCACTTGGCATCCGTTTTAGGGTCAGGTTATTTTGAAGCACAGCCTGAAAAGGGATTTGGGTATAGGAGAAAGGGGCTGAGGGCAGGAGAGGTAGGAGCTGAGCAAGAATGTGGTCTCAGCTGGTCTGGCTTCATTGTGATCCCAGGGGAAGCTGCTGAGTATGAATTGTAGCACAGAGTTAAGGCAAAGGGGGCTGGCCTTTGTACCCCTATGTCAGTGATTCGCAGATTGTGAGATGGAGGGAACGGATATGGAGTGGCTCCTGTTTGGCCAAGGACAATGCTCCAGAGGAGAAGCAGCTGTGAGCTGTTAGCAGCCAACTCTCAGAGCAGCTGGGGCATGGGGCACCAATAGCATCTCCTATGCTCAACATCTGTGTGCTTCAGGCACATTAAAAAGCCAAAATCTCCCCCCACCTGAGATAACCACCTAAATGCAGGTGAGGTGAGAACTTGACCCCCAAAAGCGGCAGACACCCGGAGCTGGTTAACCCACCCACACACCATTGTTACATTCGGGGCCCATCCAGCCTTCCATGCAAGTTTTGTTGCCATTCTGGTCACAGGCGTAGTGTCCAAAGAAGTCATCTCTGGGTCGGCAGAACTTATTGCAGCCAAACCCATAGTAATAGTCATCGCATGTCACACGGATCTGGTACTCAAAATGGGCAACCCCTGTGTTCTGCTTTAGCGTCTGCCACTGCCGGCTGGGATTTATCATGCCCGAGTGAGAAGCCTTTTCAATGATGTTGTCAGGTTCTAGAGGCAAAGAAAAAAAAAAATTAACTGCATTAACATTCACCTCAGACAGCCTTCTTTCCTGATCATTGTCGCTATTTTTAATAAATGCACACGGTACAAAATTCAAACAGTACAAAGGGGCAGAAAATGAAAAATCTCCAGAGGCAACCACTGTCACCATTTATTTACCCTTTTAATGGATGCATAGTATTTCACTGCCTAGAAATACAACGAAATAATTTACCTAGCTCCAACATATATGCATTTAGGTTGTTTTAGCCTTTGGCTATTAAGCAAAGCCACAATGAACATTCTTGAACCCATTTGCCCATGTGTGGTTCTAATAAGAAAATCCAGAAATGGAAGTGCTGACTCAAACAGGACGTACACAGCCAATTCACTTCTGCCAGACAACCCCAAACTACCGTGAATAAAGACCTGTCAATCTATCCTCCCACCAGCACAGGAAACTGTTTCCTAACACTCTTATCAAACTTTCTGATCTTTGCCTCATAGGTAAAGTCTCTCTTGTTGTAATTAGCATTTAATTAAGTGACTGGTGAGCCTCCTTTCACATGTTTACAAAACCATTTGTTTCTGTTCCTATGAACTGTCACCTATTTCTTTTAACAAGTTTTCTACTGCATTGCTGGTGATACTGATTTGCAAAAACTCTTTACATATTATAGAAAGAAACCCCCTATGGAATGTTGCTCATCAGGAAATTTCCTTATTCCAGGTCAAGGTTAGCAATCTTACTTTTCTGGTTTTAGAGTTTTGTGTCTTGCTTTAGAAAGACTCTAATTCCAAACTCTGCACTGGAAGCCAATGAGTTATGTTTATTTAAAAATCATAAACTTTACCAACTTTTAAGCTGGCATTTAAATAGCAATCTACAAGCTTGATGCATTTCACCTTTTGCCTTTGCCCAGAAGGCAGATGGGAAAAGAATTCACCCCAGTTCAGAGGCAGGTAGATCGAGGTTTTTGTGTTTTCTTTGGGGGCGGGGGGGGGTTGGGGGGGAAAGAGGCACGCCAAGTCATGCTCCTCAAAGAGTGCCTACTGAGGAAAATAAACACGCCCAGGGCTCAAGCAGCTCTCAGGAGGAACAGAAGTGGTCCCTGCCCTGGGGCCACTTATAATCTAGCCTAAGAAGAGACAGGTACTAAAATAACTCCAAACACCAGGTGCCAGGAGTTCAGGGGAGGTTTGTGAAAAGGAAGCAAGGCACTAAGTCAGCACCCTAGCCTGGTCTTTTGTTTGTTTTCTTAAACCTGCCAGCACCAACCTTCCACCACCTTGTCAAATTCAAGGCCACCTTGGAGAGACCGCGTTAAGACCTACTTGCAATGTCTTTGTGATTCCTACCCACCCACACCCCTGTTTTTCTAGGCCCAGGGCCTGTGCTCATTTACAAGGCTACGCAAATCCTACAGGTGACCAGGAGAGAAGGAACGCCTGCGCCTGAGTGGCTTCATCCACACTTCACTTCCAACATCACCCCAGCATTCACCCTCTGGGTTTCTTTAACTGTCATGTGGGCAAGACAAGCCTTGAACAAGCCCACATACCTGCAGACTTACACCCCGGCACGCACAGAACTACTTGCAGAAAACACTTTACTAACTTAAGTTTTACAAATAAACACAGGCCAAAGAATGACAAAAATGTCCCTCCATTAAACTGTGTTTGCTCTGCTGGTTCAATTAAAAAGTATACTGCGCTATTACCATGTGATTATGAGATCTTAATAAAGGAATTATTTAAACACACTTGCCATGGCTCAAAGGCTTCCAGCTTCTCTCGGGCAGGTATCAACAACAAACAATTCAGGCAAGAGTCTAAGCCAAAAGGTACAGGCTGACATTGGCGTTTTCAATAGCTTAGTATACTTTCTACTAATTCCAGGGAAGAAATGCTATAAAGTGATCATTTCGGAATCCTCAATGGGGCGAACAGATCTGTATAACTAACTTCACTCCTGCCTGACAGATTTTTCCTAACAGCCAAGAGGCGGGGAGTCCAGTCTATCTATGATATGCTTTCTGGCATCTGGGTTACAGACAGCAAGTTTGCTGCCTGTTTCTTCTAAGCTGCCGCCACCTGAATCACACTTCCTATCAGCGTGGGGCATTATAAATGTATCTGGGGTAGCTCACTTGGTAGATCAGCTTCATTAATGGGAAAAGATGTTACCAGGCCTTCTTTCAATCTTCCAACTGCATGAAGGTGAAGCACACAGGAACCATGACAGCCTTGCAAGCCAAGAAGGTAATGAGAGGCAAGTCTGAGCATAACCCCAGGACCTCAGCAACCTACAAACCTAGACAGGAGCTTTAGCCACGGCTAAGCTATAAGAAAAATCTGGTCTTAGAATGCCAGTTTGTGTTGATCTATCTATTTAGCAGTACAATAAACTGAAGCCATCTACTCTGGGACAGAAAAGATAAATTTGTATCCTTATATACTGTAGTTCTGAAACGTAATAGAAATGACCTTGGAGGACTGATGACAGGAGGGCCAGCCTTAGACAATACTTTCTAGGACATGACTAGCACCTGGGCTTCATTTGGGTCAGGCTCTGCTTGAGGGTTCATGGCACAGCTGATGTGAGATTCTCTGTTCCAAAACTCAGGTCTCTGCCTCTAATCTGAAGCCAAGATGTCTGCAACATGTTTGGATTCCTAAGAGCAGCAACTCCATTTAAGTTGCTATATCTCCTCAGCAGCTGCCCTCATGGAATATATAGTCCTTTGGGAGAGACAGAGGGTGAAGAGAGTAAAAAAAAAGCAAAACGTTCCAGGCAGAGTGAACAGCATGTGCGAAGGCTCTGAGACAGGAGAGAATGTGATGCATTTGAGGACACAAAGTGACTAGTGGGGGTATTACTAGAATACAAATATGATGGATGACAATGTGGCATGTAAGATAGAGCTGGCAGGGAGACAAAGCTGGGCTGTACAAGGCCTTGTGGGCCACAAAGGTTTGTCCCAAGAGCAACAGGAAGCTTTTTGTAAAGGTAACAATTAAGGGTTATGCTCTGAAAAGACCAGGATGGCAAGAGAAAGCACTGGTGGCAGACCAGAGTAGATATGGGTGGACTAATTCAGCCGTTACTCTTAAGAGTTCGGGCATGAGCAGATGGTGACTTGGACCAGGGCAATGGCAGGGGAGATGGCAATGGCAGGGGAGATAGCGAAGGCAGCAGGATTCTAGCGATGTGTTGAATAGTTTTAGAACTTGGAGGTGGATTAGATATGGATGCTAAGGCAGAGGTACACAAGATGCCTTCCCGATTTCTGGTTTACGGTACTGGGTGTTCAGATGCTGGTGCCAATCATCCACAAAGGGCCCTAAATTTGCTTTTGGAAAAAGGAAGATGTCAAATTTGGATTTGAATGTGCTGAATTCAATAACTTGGAAGCATTAAGAGAGGCTGAAAAAAGCAAGTACATAAGGCACTCCCAGCAAACTCCCATCCCTCCTCACTGGGCATCGACGACCTCTAATGGGCATTCTATGACTTTATGGCAACCTCTCTTTTCAGGAGCAGAGGTCAGAAAGCCTTTAATCTACCTGTCTTCCGTGGGCCCTTCCAGGGGTTTGGTCACACCTCCAGCAAGAGGTGAGATGCCCAGAACTCTGAATGGGGCTACTCAGACAACTGTGGGTAGCTCTATATGGGCAGTGGCTTCCTAGGGGAGCAGCTACCTGACCTGCGGGGTGATGGAAGGCCCAGGTAGTCCCTTGCATGCCCTCACAGGTGTCCTAACCCAGATCTTACATTGAGCCAGGATCAGCCTCAAGGATATTCATTCTACCAAACTGTTTTCATATCTAAAATGGAAGGGCAAGAGAACAACAGTGTGCACCAGAATATATCTGAAGAACCTATTTCTCCCTCTCTCCACCCCCATCTTCCCAATGCTTAGTTACCATTGTTAGCAGGTCACAATGACATAACATTCACACAATCCTAACTGTTCACACAATCCCAACGTCTGTGGCAAGAGATGGAGGAGAGAACAAACAGGTGTCTATGACCCTGACTGGCATCACATGCAACCAAGGCTGGTTACACAAGTCCTGCCCACTACAGCTCCGTGGGACATGGGTGTCCCACAGGGAAGAAGTCCAGATCTGGACTTCAGATGCCAAAGCGAGAAAAGGAGGGTGAACATCATTAGCAGCAAAAACACAAAGAAAGGGTCAGTAACCTAGAGAAACGAAAGGGATAAGATATTCAGAGGAGAATGAAGGGCAAAGACAAGTTGGATCAACCCTTCTCCTGTGTAGACTAAGATTTCAGTGTGAATCAAGTTTTCCAATGACAACCACCCAGAGCCTGCTGACAAAAAGGGAACTCGCAGTTTTGAGTGAGGGAAAATACATTTTTAAAGTTACAATAAAGAGCAAAGACTGCTTATAAGCCAGACTGCTGTCATTTTCATAGACACCCTCCATTTCTTCCCCACCAAAACCCACCTCTAGCTACTCTGAAAAGCAACCTGTGCTAAAAGCAGAGTCATCTTTCAGAAGGGGACAAGGCAAGTGTAATGACTGGAGGCTCTGGAATTCTGCTTCAATGAAAGGTTTGTCCTGGGCAGTGTGGGAAACCCTGACCGGCTGGAAGCTCACCTGCCCACCAAGTGAAATTCAAGGTCAGTCTTTAGAGCCCAGTGCCACCTTTGCCTGCTTTATCTTTCTGATGAGAGATTAAATGCTCACTTAAAGTTTAAATGGTTTTAAAAAGTCATTCCTTTGATCCTTTAGCAGTCTACAAGGTTTTAAAGTTGTAAAACCATTAAGATCTCTATCCCAAAGATAATCTAGGTACCATATTCAGGGACTGAGTTAACTGGGAATCTGTCCTGGCTACCTAATGTTCTAAGAGAAAAGTCTAGGAGAAGTCATGGAAGACTCTATCGAAAGATTCACCCCAGGAGGCGGGGGACAGATGGCAGGGGGTGGTAGAAGTTCCTTGAGGCACCCAGGAGACATTTCCAGCTCTGACAGGTACCGTTATGCCAAGCACTGCAATTCCAGAAACACACGCTTAGAGATAAGTCCTTTGCTGTGATACTTACGGACAGTGTCGTTGCTGGAATCCCACGCCTCCACGAGTAAAGTGTAGGACCTCTGCAAACAGATAAACGGCACTTAGTGTTCGGAAATAGGGGTCAGCTGTCAATGTCATACTTTCTTGGCCTCCCTGCACACTCCGCCAAACCAAACCATAAAGCCAATATGAAATTGTTTGCTGTTAAACTCCCCTCCCCGCTCCAGACCCACCCCGGGTTGTCTTTCTCCTGGCCAGGGAGGGGCGAGGGGGCGGCCCACTGTGGTCATCATGCAGGCAGTTCGAAGTCATCAGGAAACACCATCTCCCTATAGGTTAACACTTAGCATACAGTTTTCCAAAACTTTCCAGAATCTAATTCTAGTGCATAAGAAAAACACACAAAGAATTTATTCTAAGCTAATGTAACCAGGTATTTGTAGTACTGGGGGAGGGGCCCCATCCAGAGGAGGGCCGGGTACTGCTAAGGTTACACTTTGGGCCCTGGTGGGGCAGTCCCAAGAGAGGCCCCCTTTTCCTTTTCAGAACCCCTTTCAAAGCCCTGTCTGTGTGAGACCATCTAGGCTCCCACAAGTATCAGGTGGCTCTATGAAGCAGGAGGGGGTAGGTGCAAAGAGATTCCCAAGACAAAGGCGGCAACCTAACTTGGGGTGCGTGGGGGGCAGACTCTGGGAAAGGAAGAAAGTACAAAAGGGAGAAATAACCACACATCTGAGCGTTCTATTTATTGATGAACTTATCTGTCAATAAGATCTAACATTCCAAGAATAATCAGAGTTCACTAAAAGAATTCCCTGGACACTGGCAGGGTGCCAGCTATTATACTGAAGGTACCTTTTATCTTCCAGAATTACCTCAGAATTCCCCCTCCCCCCAAAACCCAAGCCATTAGCAAATTCCCACTTTTACTCAAATCTTCATTTGTAATTTAGAATGAGGTCAGTCCCACAAAACATTAGGGTTTAAATAAACTTTCAGCTATCTTGGCGCTAGAGAAATATATCCACAGGTAGTTAGGAGAAAAGGCACGTGAGCCCTCTCTTTTATGTACCCCTGAGCTGTCACTCACTGTCAGATACTAATATATAGGAAATAGTAGCACATACTGATCAAATAATGCCATGCCACTGGAAATGCCAAGGAAAAGCACCTATAAAGTGAAGGCAAAAAGGGGGGGGG